TTCGTGAAGATTATGCTTGGGGGAGACAAACTGCAAAATATCAAATACTGAAGCTAGCAGTTGTCTAAATTCTTTTCACTAATCCCCACGTGCTCCTGCTTGGTATTATAATTAATATCCATTACCCAGTAGGAGAGGAGAGAGTCAGCAGCCATCACCAGACATCTGGCTTTGGAAGCAGCTTTGCTGCAGAGATTACAACCTGTGCCACTGAATCCAAACAGCATTCATTCTTGGTGGTCTCAAGCATCCTTGCATCCAGAGAAAAGAATCACTTTGCTATTTTTTTATGGTTTAATTATATTATTGCATAAAACATTTTGGCTGTATTACATTCTGGACATCCCTGTTTTATAACCAACAGTCCCACTGAAATGTGAAATGCACCTAAAATTAACAAAGGCAATGTCTCATCCCACATCTCTGATTTCATTTAGGCTTGAAGAAGTAGGCCAACATCACATAGAGTACAAAGCATGGGAGCAGAGAGGCCTAGGTTTGCTCCCAGCTCTGCGCCTTCAAAGGTGTTCATTGGTGACCTGAAGTAAGCCACAATAGTTGTCTCGGTCTTAGACTGTGTTGTCCTTTGAATGATGGGGTAGAATTAGATCATCTCCAAAGGCCCTGGTATCTCTAACACTCTACTGATGAACTCAGGCTAACATCTGAGACAGATTCATGAGACTTATCTTCAAGTTTTCATGGCTATAATGAATGGAGTGGATGACTAAGGGCTGAAGTATTGGGAAGATATCTTGGAAATTTCCTCATATAGACATCAGAAGAAATAGTTAACAGAGACTTTTGTACCATTTCTGTTTAATATTCCTTATTTCTATGGACAAGAAATAAAGGTTCTGAGAATATCTTCAAAAATAGTATGGCACTCTCCTCTTCCACCCCTGGAGGTTCCACTGGGTAAGAAAGTTGTGAAAGACACGTGGGAATTTGGCCAAGCACTCCCTTCTGCAGCACTCATGGGAAGGAGGATCCAAGGATTTGCTGACAGCCAGCTAGGGGACCATTTTGAGCCATCTTCAGATACTCTAGAGACACTGTGCTCTTTCAGTGAGGAAAAGCCACACTTCTTAAAAACAAAAAAAAAAAACAAAAAAACTTACTACCTATTTCCTGACCCATTGCAGACCACCACAGTCTTCTCACCAGTCTTCCAAAATGTAAACAATACTGTGGCAGCCATAATGCTTCCATTTACATTTCTGAGGCAATATTTTTAAGATCCTTGAAAACTAGATTGACAACCACAGCCAGCCTATGACTTCATTTTTTAAATTACTGGTTATAGTGCTCTTTCATATCTATTTCTGAGTAGAAATTCACTCCAAAACTCAGTGCTTGAAACAATGATCTATTATTTTTCATGTTTCTGTGGGTTGATGAGAAGGCTTTTTCTGCTAGACTCACTTGGGCTCACTTATTTTGCTGCATTCATCTGGAGAGAGTCTCTGACTCCTTCACTGATGTCTGGCAGTTGGCCCTGGCTGTTGACTGGGGGACCTCAGTTCTCCTCGGTGAGGCCTCTTATCTTCTAGTGGGCTAGACTGGTTTCCTTACATGGTGGTTTCAGGGCAGCACTTCAAGGGAACAAAGTGGAAGCCACAGACTTCTCATGGCCTAACCTCAGAAGTTGTATGTTATTTCTGGCACATCCATTGGTCAAAGCAAGTCACAAGTCCAGATCAGAGTTAGGAGGTGGGGAAATAGACTGTCTCTTGCTAGGAGGCACAGCGAAGTCAAAGAGACATGTATGCAGGAATTGCTGCTCTTTTCACCTCCATCTGCCACAGATAACTTCTACGGTGAGGCAACCCATAAGAGACTCTTAAATACAGAGGACAAACTGAGGGTTTATGGATGTGGGAAAAATGGGTGATAGGAACTGAGGAGGGCACTTGTTGGGATGAGCAGTAGGTGTTTTATTAAGTGATGAATCACTGGATTCTACTCCTGAAGCCAAGACTACACTGTATGTTATCTAATATGAGAATTAAAAAATTTAATAAACAAAACATAAAATTATAAAAAATAAAATAAAATGATTTAAAAAAGTAAAACAGTACAACCATGGAAAAAGCAGAATGTATCAATAACAATAAATAAGGAAATCAAAATCAGCCTTAATCCCACCACCCCAAGAGAATGACTATTAACATCATCGCCTGTATGCCCAACATTTTTCTATACATCTTTACATCAGGTCAAAAGATACACACTGTTTTGTTCCCTGATTTTTATAGCCCAACAGTATGTCCTGAGCATTTCCTTATAATGTACCTAATATCTCCTATTTAATAGGCCATAATTTAATTATGTATTGCAAATATTTTTACTACTATAAATAATCATGTAGTGAAATTTTTCATATAAATCTCTGTGCATATCTCTGACTATTTCCTTAAGGTTAAGTCCATAAAGTAAAATTGCTAGGTCAAAAGAAATATATATTTTAAAATTTTGTGATATTTTGCTAAATGACCTCCCATAAAAAAGTTAATGTTATGTTCTCAGCAGAGAAATATAAGAAATCACTGTTTCTCTCTTTTCATTAACTCTGGTGAATCTGAGAGGTAAATATTGACATTCATAATTATATTAATTTGTATATCATTGTCAATAATGTTAAACATTTTTTCCATTTTCTCTTACCAACCCAGTCTATTGCTTGTCTCTCCCTCTGGGGGTATCAAGAAGAAAGAATGGAGAAGAAGGAGTCTTAATAGAAAGCACTTTCCTTAATAGTCATTATATTCATCTCTTTTTCCTATAGGTAAGTAGTTTACTACAAATGTGAGCACTTAAAAGTGATAAAATAATTATGTCTCATGAGTCAAAGAGACCAGGTCTGGTGGGGAAGAGGAAAAGGGAAGGAAGGAAAAGGGAGGGAGGGAGGGAAGGAAGGAAGGATGGAAGGAAGAAAGGGAGAGGCAGGGAGAAAAAGAAAAGAAAGGAAAAAAATTATGTGCTTAAGAGAAGGTAGAGGTGAAAAAAGAAAGCTAGAATTAATTTAATGAGCAGGGATGGATCAGAGAGGTTTAGAAAATTAATATTGGCTGGATGTCAGTGTAGAACATGGGGTATAAGAACTAGGGAGACTGGGCAACCCATTACTGCATTTGGTATATGCCAGGGTTGACTCTTTTCCACCAAAACTCAGTAATTATCCTTAAAAAATTAACAAAAGATCTTGAAACCTCACGGCATATTTCAACAGCATGGTATATTTCAATAGCACAAGAGACTCTAGTTTCGTCCTCAACTTGAAGCAAAATAGAACCAGATAAAAAGGTAGAATAAATTCATTGGCCAATATTCACCCATTCATTTATTCAGCCAACCAACAACCATTGGTATCTGCCATGTGGCAAATACTCTGTGGGTACTAGAGATATAGAGAAGTATTAAGTAATGATTCTTGTTCCCAAGCAACTTAAAATCTAGCAAATGTTAGGGAAGAGAAACAACTGGGAAGAGAAGAGACACCTAATGATATCTAATTATTTAGACTATGAACCTATGGTGTATCCACAGTGACTTACACTTACACAGCCTTACACTTTAACATTTGTGGCATTAAACTTGTCTCATCATTAAGAATAAGCCAGAAAATATGACTTTTTTTCCCAAAGCATAACTTAAAGCAAGGCACCTCCAATCCAGAATCTCCCAGATTGTATTTGTTCTCACATCATGACTAACACCAAAAAGGATTCCAGGCTCAGCCACATGCTTTTCCAGAAACAATCTTCCACTGTGAGTCTCTGATCTCTGGCATGAAGCCCAGGTTACTCAGCCCACACTCCCTCCTCCTTAATAACGGGTCATCACTTGGGATCTCAGGTCCTCTTGTGTTAGCAAAACTCAATCAGGACCATCTCAATCCCCAAATTTTGAATTTAAAGAATTATTTAAGTCCCAAAATATCATTCTAAACATGAGATTCTAAGGAGTTTAAACTTCAAAGTGAATGTGTTGGAGTCTTGGTTACTCTACTTTCAGGAACCTCTTTGTCCCCTTTATAAATTTGCTTTCCTTCTCCCAGTGACCAGTTCAAATTCCAGAAATCTCAAATCAGCAACTAACCAGATGTTTCCCAATCCCATGTTCTATTCCTGGATACATGAAGATGATTTATTTACCAGTTAGACTTAATTCAGAGATTACGATAGGAATTAGAGCCTGGTATCAAGAAATGCCATCAACATAGAAGTGTATTATAGGTGGCCAAATGAATAGAAGGCAAAAACCAGAAACCTGGTTTTAGAAAGCTGTATTTATTATGTTTGTCATGTTTATCAGCTGCTTATCAGATATCACCAATATCATACAGCACAACCATAATCATGTCATTAAAATGTACGTAAATTTATTTTTAATAAGATTTTTTTCTGTCTACATACACATATATATAGAGAGATAGACATACTGAGGCTTCTCAGTTTGTCTCTCATCAGTTCAGCTGCCCTCTTACAACTTAAAGAATTAAAGGGTACATAGTTCCTAAACTTCAGGAGTTATAGTGGATCTTGACTCACCCTACACTCCATTTCACCAACAGACAATCTGAGGTTCTTTCAAAAAAAGCATTCATTGAAGAATCCAATGGCTGAGCATGTACTCCTAGAATTACAGCAGGTGAGATACTACCAAAAGATATTTCTTTTATTTTTTATTTTTTTAAGTTTATTTATTTTGAGAGAGAGAGAGATAGAACAAGCATGGGAGAGACAGAGACAGAATCCCTAACAAGCACAGAGTCCCCTATTCAGGGCTTGAACTCATCAACTAGAGACCATGACCTGAGCAGAAACCGAGAGTCAGATGCTTAACCAACTGAGCCACCCAGGACCCCACCAAAAGACCTTTCAATAGCCCTCTACCTTTTACCGCCTCCTCTTGGGCAGTTGGCAGTTTCCACAGGTCTCTCCTTTTTTACAGGGGCTCCCGTCAATCTCCTCCTAGATCCACCCCCTTCCTGAATCAGAACCGTGGAATCCTCCATTGCTTCTCTTTAGCTAGCACACAGGGACAGAGAGATAAAATAACAAGTGGAGAAGAAAGCAAACTAGGATGGCTGCCATTAGAGGTGATCCCAAGGTGAATCTAATAATGCAGACTTGACCTTGACCTGTGTCACCTTTAAACCACTCCACCAAAACTCTGTCTACGTTCAGGAAAATCCACATGTCTGTGCCTCCTCTAGCCTTCACCATGCTTTACCCCCTTTCTTTTCATTACCTCTTTTCTATTCTCTCCTCCAGATCCTCTTCTTTTATTATCTCCTCCCCAGTGTGGGATCTGCAATAATCTCCACCTAGTATCTCTCTCACCTCTGCTTTTGTCCTTCCCAACAGTTAAGTTTGTTAGCCAAGCATTACCACAAGTAACTTTACAACAAATGCCAACAACATACTGTTGTCTATTAGACATTTCCAGCATCCAAAGAACCTAGATGGTCTAATTATTGGCCTTCTGGACAAATAAATTCAGTGAGCCACTCTGGGATACTCTTTTTGGACACTGCAATGCAAATTTTCTTCTTTAATATTTATTTATTTGTTTTAATGTTTATTTATTCTTGAAAGAGAGACAGACAGACAGACAGAGCATGAGCTGGGGCGGGGCAGAGCAAGAGAGGGACACAGACTCTGAAGCAGGCTCCAGGCTCTGAGCTGTCAGCACAGAGCCAAACTTGAGGCTCAAACTCACAAGCCATGGGATCATGACATGAGTCAAAGTCGATATTTAACCAACTAAGCCATCAAGGTGCCCCATCAAATTCTCTTCTTATAACTGACTTGAACCTGATTAGAACCCTGATTAGTGAAGAGACTTTATGGTTTCACAGCTAATTGACAGAATCAAATCAAGTTTTATAGTACCAATTTTTTCTCTGCTTGATGGTGTAGAACTCTGCAGTTTTAATCAGGTACCTATGCAACACTTGAGCAGATTCCAAGATAATTTTTGAGGGATGTATGGCCCTATCTCCAAGAGAACCCATGACTGATCTCTATTCAGGGTGGGTCAGCAGCTCAATTTTTTAAAGTTTTTATTTAAATTCCAGTTACTTAACATACAGTGAAATATTAGTTTCAAGTGCACAATTTAGTGATTCAACACATACAATATCCAGTGCTCATCAATACTAATGCACTGTTTAATCCCTATAACCTATTTAACCCACCTATCCCCACCTCCCCTCTGGTGACCATCAGTTTGTTTTCTATAGTTAAGAGTCTGTTTCTTGTTTTGCCTGCCTCTCATTTTTTTCCCTATGCTCATTTGTTTTATGTCTTCGATTCCACATAGAAGTGAAATCATATGATATTTGTCCTTCTTTGATTGATTTATTTCACTTAGTATTATGCAATCTAGCTCCATCCATGTTGTTACAAATGGCAAGGTTTTTTTTTTTTTTTTTTTTTTTTTATGGCTGGATAATATATATTCTTTATCCATTCATCTGTCAATGGACGCTTGAGTTGTTGCCATAATTTGGCTATTGTGGATAATGCTGCTATAAACATTGGGGTGCACATATCCCTCTGAATTAGTGTGTTTGTAACTTTGGGTAAATATCTCATAGTGCAATTGATGGATTGTAGGGTAATTCAATTTCTAACTTTTTGAGGAGCCTCCAAACTGTTTTCCAAAGTCAGACTCTCTATTTTTATTTGCATTTCAGTTTTTACATCTAAAATCAACTTGAATGGTTTTTCATGTACTGTCTACAGTATATGAATCCATAAGATGAAATAGCAGCACTTCCATGCCTCATCCGAGAACTAACTCTAGCCAAAAATAGAGCTAGAAACTTGTGTTCAAGAGATCTGCAAACTTCCTGTGGTTATTGGTTTTTCTGGTCTCCTACTATTTTATTCAGAAGCACCATGAGTTTTTAAAAGTTAAACATACATTCAAATGCAATTTATAAACTGTAAACATGTACAAATAAGTTTACTATAAAACATTAAAACACAAAATGTTACAGAATGAGAAAATTTTAATAAAAAGAGAAGCTCTATTATTTACTTCTAATTACTTTATTACTTCTCCTCTTTCATTCCTAATTTTATTTATTTAGGTCTTCTCTCTCTTGCTCTCTCTTTTTTATTTATGTGTCAGGCTTATCAATTTTGTTTATCTTTTCAAAGAACCAGTTCTTAATTTCATCAGTTTTTTATTTTTATTTTTTAGTCTCTATTTCATTTATTTCTATTCTTATCTTTATTCTTCCTTCTACTTAACTAGGGGTATTTTATATGTCTTCATTTCAATTTTTAAGATAATTTCATAACACCAGAAACATTCAAATTTGCCTTTGAATTTATAACTCCTATCTTACTATACATTCCTGCAGTTAAACAGGATAATTTAAGTAAGCAATGATAGCTCAGTGATTGTAACTAAAAATTATTTTATTTACAGATTTAAATTATCTCTATTTGGTCACCCTATCTGATTATGTGGAGTTTAATTGCATTTAAAAATTTTAATTCAGGGCACCTGGGTGGCTCAGTCAGCTGAGTGTCCAACTTTAGCTCAGGTCCTGATCTCATGGTTCATGAGTTTGAGGAGCACACATAGGGGTCTTTCTGCCCCTCCCTTGCCCATTGTCTCTCTCTCTCTCTGTCTCTGCCTCTCTCTTAAAAATAATAAACATTCAAAAAATTTTTAAATTCAAAAAGTGAATACAAACTGAGTGGTATAATATTTTTTGTCTGATAAGTGCACAAAAATATTATGCTGAATATAAACAATAGCTTTAAAATTAACATTTGGTCTTTTTCACAGTTTTTGTTTGTTGTAAAACTAGAAAATGAATAAAGAAATAATGATTATTATTGATCATTACATAGTTACTAGAAATAGTAAAGATGTAGAGAATGTAAATATGTACATATGAAAAATATATAGAGAAGAGAAGTGTTCTAGTGATGCCCTCCAGGTGTCAAATATGCTAGACAAATTTGACAAATATGCCACTAACTACAAGTGTTGCCCAAAGGGCATTGTTACTGTCTATGTTGCCCAGGCTCACTGTAACCCAAGCACATTGTCTTGTGATCCTGTTCTCTTTTGTTTCCCTGTGGTTCTCAACAAACCCAGTAGTCAATGCACTCAACTCATCTTTAATTGATGTTCTTCTGGTCATCTACTTTCCAGTTGATTTCTTTACCTGGCTCCTTTAAAAAAGTTTTCACTTCTCTTATTAAATTGTCTAGGCTATTATATTCATCTGTGGGTTGATAACTCTCAAATTTATATCTTCAACTCTCACCTTTCCCCCAGACTCCAGAAGTATATACCCAATTCCTATGTCACAGCTCCACCTGAATGTCTAATAGGCATATTAAATTGACCATGACCAAATATGATTTAATGTTCTTTCCATTATCCACGCTTTCCCCAGGGGTCCCCATTTTAGTAAATGGCATCACCCTTCACTATAATCTTGACCTTTCACTACTCTATTCCTCCTTTACCCCACACCCAGTACATCAGTAAACCCTAATAGGCTCAACCTGCTATATATAACCAAAGTCTACCCAGTTCTCACTCCTGCCCTTACTACCATTGGAGATCTGGAATTCTATAAGAGCTTGCTGCTTGGTTTCCTTGCTTACTTGCTTTATTCTAGACTCTTCCACAGCAGTGGCCTTAGTAAGCTTTATAAAATATAAATGATCTTATATAAATAACTCCATCCCTAAGCAGAATGCTCCAATAATTTCCCATCAAATTTACAATAAACCCAGAGCCCTTATGTTGGTTGACAAGTGCTGTATAAGCAGCCTGGTCCCAGTTGTGTTTTTGACCACTTTTCTTACTTCTCTTTCCTTTACTCATTTTGCTCCCTTCAGACACACTGCTTTTGTTGTACTCCTTCAACACACCAAGCACCTGCCTGCCTTAGACTCTTTATACTTGCTGGCCCCTTAGCCCAAAACATTTGTCCCAGCTTTTTCTATGGCTTACACCACGCATCTTCATTGCTTACAAGTCATCTTTTCTGAGATATCTTCCCTGAACACGTTGCATTATATACAACAACAAAGAAGCATATCCAATTGCCTTACATTCATTTCTTTCCTTCAGGGCACTTTTCAGTATCTAACATATTGTATAGTTATTTTCCACCTTAGAGTATAGTCTCAAGAGGGCAAAAACCTTGCCTGTATTGCTCACTGCTGAGTCACCAGAAATGGAATTAGTATAGAGAAACTCTATAGTTATTGAGTTAACAAATGAACTAATCTACCCAATTTTTATACCAAATCCAAGCCTGTGCTCTTTTGTGTTCTCTATTTTTCTTTTATTTCCTCAAGCCTTATCAGGGAATTAAGGAAGCATCCTTGCCTTTTTGCTGATATCATTGAGCCCCTTCTCAAAGTTTCCCGAGAGACATAGGTAGAAGACATAGCTGTTCCTCAGGGGGCATCTTTAAGGAAAGGAACAGTGAGGCTGGTCACAGCAAAAGTATAGCCAGGCTTCCTCACCTGACAGCCTCCAAGAGTGGTCATCCAACAGCCATTCTCTGCTTCTTCATCTAGCTTTTGAATCATGGGATTAAATCCTGGTGACCATGTGATCCATCCTGGAGACTGTATCATATATGGGTCCAATGATCTTAAATAAGGGATTGTAGAGATCCACTTAGTTTCTCAGCCACTAATGATGTAAAAGGAGGTCATATGACCCAGAACTGAAAAATGACATATCAGGGGAAATCTTCTTGAGTTTCTAGAGAGAAATCTGCTTCCAAACTAAAATGGCAAAGCCTCCAGAAGAGAATGGTCTTACCCTAGACTTTCCTTTCTGTGGGGAATAAGTTTAGGAATTCCCTGAGCTTGCACTGATGGGTTAACAAGGCATAAAGTAATAGAAAGCCACAGGATGAATGCATCCAAGATAAGGTAAACAAGATTAGGTAAGCAAGGCAAAAGCCCTCAGTATAGGATAAAGGTGTAGGAATAGGAAATCTCAGGATGAAAACATCCAAGATTAGGTAAACAAGATTAGGTATTCAGGGCGGAAGTGCCGCTCAATTTAGTACAATAGCAGAAAGCTGCTTTCACAGGAACAAAGGACAAAAACAGGCAGATAGGGCTATAGATCCCAGTTGCCCAAAGCTGAGCCAATTAGCAAAAGAAAGCTGACCCTGAGGTACCATTTTCTGTCTTTTTTTTCCCCTAGGCAAGTTTAGGTAAACAGAGGTGGCGCCTCATGTCTGCTGTAAACAACCATCTGCCCAGTGCCGGGATTTTGTTTTGTATTGACCCAAACCCCTAACACCAATATCTTCAAAACTCCCTTTCCCTCACGCCCATAAGTTAATGTTCACGATTTCATTGTCTCTTTGTGCACGTCTATCATTCTTGTAAGCCTTCTGATCCTAATAAAAATGGAGCAAGGACTCTTACTCAGGGCTCTTGTCTCCTGGACATTAGCCTCTCTTGCATTTCAATCCTGCATCTGCTCTTTTGCTGGACAAGAGGGAACTCTTGACTGAAGATGTGATACCTGCTACCTTGGGCCTATGAAAAGAGAAGATCAAGGATGAAAATCCAATGAACTAAGGATAGTAGAAAAAAAGGGAAGAGATCAGGCTTGATCTGTAATAAGAACCTTTAATCAAACACTATGTTTCTGGTTAAGTAAATAGTATACTTCCTTGTTTGCAAACCAGTGCTAATCATGTTTTCGGTTACTTTTTCACAAACTAGATTATTCAGGGACAATAAAATGATGTCTAAACAGGTGACAGATAGGGCCCTCACTCAGCTGACCATAAAGTCACCTCTTGATGATGAAGGATCAAACAAGAGATGTATTATATGGGGCAGTTGACAGAAGGCTCAGGTGACGGCCTTATCAGGTTGCCAAGAAGGAAGGAAGGGAAGAATACAAAGGCGGGAGGACTCCCCTTGGCAGAGAACCAGAACAAGGGCAACTGTTGCTTATCACGGACTCACTGAAGTTTATCACAGTTGTGTGTCACACCCAAGCAAGCAGTTCTTTGAAATTGTACTAGGGCATGTGTTTGTACGTATGTGTTTTCTTAGGTGTTGAGAGGTGCCTAGGTCAGTTACCACAGGGTATAAAATATCTTTTCCTGGCCAGCCTTTGCAGACTTCTTCTGAACTCATCTGTGAGTGATTTCTCTGCAGCCATTCTCCCTGATTCTTCAAACAGCTTGGAGAGATCCAGACTCTTCCATACTGGCACTGATTTTCTCCTTTCTGTTCTCTCTTAAGACTCTTCGTGTCATCTTTCCCCTTCCTTTTTGACCATAGTGGAGCTCAGAGATCTCAGTGTTCTATCTTTCCTCCCAGCCCCAGGACACTGCTGTTCTACAGGATGAAGCCTACCTCTTGCTTCCTTCTCATTCTCATCCTCCTTCTCCAGCTGATGATCCCAGGATATGCTCAGTGTTCCTTGGACTCCATCGTGGATAAAAAGATAAAAGAAGCTCTCACTGGCTTAGGTAACTGACTGAGGGCAGGGAGTGGGAGAGAACCCCTGATCATGCCACCTATTCCTAAACCTAACTTCTTCTCAGTCCCATCCCCAGCTTCCAGCTCCTATTAAGTCTACTCAAGCTTAATCTTCCAACCAGGGCTTTTTCTACTCCCATATCCCATTGGACTCCTGGCTAAAATTTCAGGTTTCCCTGATGATAATGAGCCTGATGATGATGGTAATGAGGATGCAGATAGTTATAATTTATGGACACTCACTATGAATGAGATATAATGCAAAAATTTACAGTGATGACCTCACTTAATTTCCACTTTATGAAGTAAGTACAACTATTACTTTATTTTATAGATGAGAAAACCAAACTTTAAAACCTAGTGAGTATCATGATTATGGACACAGTGACACCTCTGAGGTAAAAGAGATTTGGAAGGGGATTATGGGAGACAGATATCATAGGCAATACCCCTTCTTCTCTCCTATTCAGAGTTAAATACCATCCCAGCAAAGAAGATTTCATGTACCAGTATCTTTAGCTCAGGCAGACTGTCTTCCTGCCCTGCGGGTAAGTAACTTCATGAGGAGGAATGGTAAGATGCCCTGTGCCCTCCTCATCCATCCCCTGGCACCTACACCTTCCCCTTGCCTTGTATTAGCCTGAAGCTGAGTTTTAACCTCTGGTTCCCAGTGATCTCTTGCCCATTGTTTCCCTTAACGGTGCTACTGAGGGCACTTGGGTTTCTGTCTCTTCCCTTACCACCTCCCCTTCATGACCTCACATACCAGCTCTCCCTCTTTTCATTGTCCTGTTATGATCTGTCACCTACCATTCCCCTGTCCTTCATCTTTCTTTCCTGATCTACTCGCTTGTTTTGGTAAGTAGGGACAGCATAGAGGTAACTATATCATGAATCTATAGAAAGGAATGCCCAGGCCCTTCACTTTCACAGGCCTCTTCCATGACCCTATACCTAAGTTTGTTTTGGTGATTTTTGTAATTTTTTCCTTAAAGAGGACTCTCAAAATCAAATTAGCTTTTAGTCCCACAAAACTTATAGCTACACCTGAGCTGCACAGATATGGAAAATGGTAGGCATGCACCTCTCTCCTCTCAAAATCCGAGGGTTTTTGACATCTGTGTCTCATCTTTTGCAAAGGGTTCTGACATCTGTGTCTCATGTGTCCATATAGGAATGGTTGTCACCGGCTGTGCCTGTGGCTATGGCTGCGGTTCCTGGGATATCCGGGGGGAAACCACGTGCCACTGCCAGTGCAGCACTATAGACTGGACCACTGCCCGCTGCTGCCACCTGACCTGAGGGGGAGGAGGATGAGGACCCAACTGTGTGACAATGACTGTAATGAAACTATACACCAAATAGGAAACCTGACTCAACCTGTCCCTTTCATTTGTTGCAACCTGCTTCTTGGGTAGTAAAGACAATTTTTTTTGTGTCTCTCTGTGTTTGTATTTTTGATATTACAGTTCCTGGTTTAGAATTCCTCTAGCCAGAAAATTTCTCCAGTGTCCCAATTACTCCATCTAAGCAAGGATCAGTAAAAATATGGGGAGAATGGGGAAAACTGAGATTGATATTCCAGCCTCCTGTTCCCTCATTGTTTAGCAAAAGGACAATGACTATGCCAGACATTTTGCTTGGCCATAGAAGTACAGGGAAAGAAAATAACATGCATGTCCTATGAGGCTCACTGAATAGAACAGTGGGTTCCAAACTAAGTGCCAGCAGATTTTTCAAGGTGGAGGAAGGCACGGGTACTTTTGAAAGAATAAATTTCTAGATTTCTGGCTTGTTTGTATATGGTTTCCTAAACCTATGTGTCAAAGATCTATTTTGATCAAAGTGATTAATTTGCCATTGTCTTTCTCCCCCATAGCAAAACAAAAAGACAGCATTTACCTGCCATTGAACCTTACCATAACTCATCACAAGGGGATATAAATATCTGCAGAATGGAAAGGAATGATCCAAAATACCAGCACCAATGTTGAGTGATCCGGTGACTGGGTAGCAAGTCCTTTCACAAGTTGCAGGACTTTCAGTGTTTGGTGCAATATCAAAAGAGGGTATCATCCAGGTATCAACTGGTAGACCACCAAAAATAATTTTACTAATAAGTTTCAGTATGATTTTTAACAAATAACTCAAAAGGAATTCAAACAAATTGAATGATATTACTATAATATAATTTTTTCCCTTCCTACATACTTAATTATGAAGTAATTATCTCAAAGCTTATAAATATGAAAAGAAAAGAAAAATATATTGGCTCTAAATTTCATCTCTCTCTAGGATTATTTATTCATGGATAAATAAATTACTCAAGGGAAAAAAAACAGCTCCATCTCTCTCATTTAAGAATTACATTTCCAAAATATACCATTGGTGTTTATTACTTATCAGTGTTATGGATGTTTGTTCAATTGTGTGCTTTTAATCAGTGTAATAATAACTCAATACCCCTACTTATGGCAAGAAGAATGAGTATTTGAAAATAGAAACCAAAATCATGTCAAATTTTTGTCCAAATTACACATTCTAGTGACTTCTCATTACACAGAATATAAAATCCCAAGTGTATATATATATATATAAATATATAAATACACTATAATAATATATATAAATATAATATATAAATAATATATATTAATATATTATAAATATATTTATAATTTATAATTATAGTGTAATTATAATTACATTATTAATAATAATAAAATTATTAATTATATATAAACTCTGAGAAAGAGTTTGCTTCCTAGATGAAAAACGGAGACTCAAAACTGTCCCTGACAATTTTGTTGCTTTGGATTTGGGTGTGAGAAGATGAGGTCTGAAGCTGTGACCATGAAGTTAGTCAACCATCTTGTGATTTTTGAGGATAAACCACAAGGATAGTGATGAAGAAGCAGGGAAAGAATCTGAAGCTGCCAGAACAGATTATCTGAACAAAGTATAGAATCACTGAAACCTCATTTCTTCATAAATAAATAATCAATGTTTGTATTCATTCATTTTTACATTTATTGACTTCTGTGTGATCAGCAATGGGATTCGTTGGTGGCTAAAATAGGCAAAAATTATTTCATTCATGGAGGTTCCATTCCAATTCTAAGCTTCTACCAGCTGGGATTTTTGTTAGTGTCCCACAGACAGAATTAGTCAAGGATAATGTAATAGTATCTGAGCAGATGACAACTAGAGTCCTAAGACCAAATCTTTCTGTCTCTTCCAGTTGAAGGAATGAACAAAAGGTCTGTAATGAGAGATGTCAGCAGATTTGGCAATTCCTGCAAACCAGAGGCCAGGCTTATGGGACTGCCAAAAACAGTGGGGTGGGGGAAAGAGAGAGATGGAAAGACTTCCCCAGCAGAGAATCAGAGAAAAGGCAGCTGGTCCCTCTCTTGACACAATGGAGATTGTTTCAGCCTCTTTCTGAAAGCTTAACCCTTTTTGGTTGCCTTAGATCCCAAGTACAGCCTGTGTTTGTTGGTGGAGGGGAGGAAATACTCTCGTCACATGCTGCCATGTTGAAAAGCATCCCTGCACTCCCAACCTTGGCAGCCCTTTCTTAAACCTGCCTGTGTAAGTAAGCCTGATGCGGAGCTCTCTTCCCTGACATCTCCACCTCTCCCTAGTCTGGCTGCGGTCCAGCTGTCCTTTCCCACGTCTCCCCACTGGACCCCAAATTGTTTTCATCTTCTCTCCATTTTTTTTCTCATGGCAGGACACTGTCTTCCATCAGGATGAAGACCTCTGTTCATCTCCTTCTCTTCCCCCCTTCCAACTCATGAGCTTAGGTGACGCTCTCAGTGCTGCTGACACTTCGGCAGATGAAAAGGTAAGAATAGCTCTGGGTGAGCTGGCTGACTAATAATGGAGGTGGGGGCAGTTATATCCCAAATTCTCAATCCTACTAATTGACTCTGTTCCATTTCCTAATCCATCTCCAGATGGCAACCTCTAACTGGAAGATTTACACCCAAACCCCCTGCCTTCGATGTGCCTAATGGGCTCTTAGAGCTTTTAGTGACTCAGTGATGAAGTCTACATGTAACATTCTTGAGCACTTAGCATGTGCTAGGCACTGCTATGCATTCTGTTATTATTTTATAAACTTCTCACTATAACTTTATGAGGAAATACTGTTATTTCCATTATACAGAAGAGAAAACTGAGGCGTATACAAGTTCTGTAATTTATCCAGCAGTACACAACTATAAGCAGAAGGGTGATGTGGGATTGGGGGTTGGGGGCTGGCCGGAGTGCGTCCTGTCCTACCTTTTTGTCTCTCCTATATAATGTAAGCCCTCAGACTGCATGAAACAGCTCTTCTGTAGCAGTGTCACTAATGAAAAAAATCTGTCCTGCCTCTCACGTAAGTAATTATATGAAGACGGCAATGCTTGCTAATCCCATGCCTTTCCTCACGCACCTGTGCTCAGACTGCCAACACATTACTGTACCAGCAGATTGTCTCCAAACTCAAGATTATAATGTCATTGGGTTGGATCATAACTCCAGTATCCATCATTTCCATCCCTCCCTCCCAAGGGGTTACTTAGAGACCTGAGGTTTCTTTCCACTCCTTTCCCTCTTCCTTAACCGTCCCCCTCCAGCCTTTCCTTTCGCCCAGTACTCTGCCATATCACCTCCTTCCTCTTTCGTGTCTTCCATTTCCTCCTCCCAGTCTAATCCCATGATGTTTCTGCCCCACCCAAAGGGAGGAGGGAAAGGATAATTGGGGAGGGCTTGCTCCTGTGCCTATGCCTGTGGCTCCTGGGATGTCCAAGGGGAAACCGTGTGCCCCGCAGTGCAATCCTGTAGGATGTACACTGCCCATTGCTGCTTCCTCATCTATGTAAAGGAGGTGAGGTCTGAGTCTGGGTACCATGAAGGCAATAAAACCATGACCCCAACCAGGAAACCTCCACCCCTCTTCTTCAAGCCATGACTTCTCAAGTCCCCTTTACCTGTGATATCCCTGCTTCACCAATAGTAAAGATAGTCTCTTCATCTCTTTGTGTCTTTGGTGTTACTAGCCCCTGCTGAGGTGCTGGGAGAGGGCAGAGGAGCATGTAATGGGTTGGAGGAAAGATGTTGCAGCTATCAACCACAGCCTGTGACCAGCTTCACAGGTAGAGACATTAGAAGTTATGTTTTACATTAATTAATTATTTCTTCCTTTTTTCTCCCCATTAAGTTTTATGGAGAGCACTGGGTGGCAGCTAATGTTTTTGGTTTTAGTTTTCATTGGGGAAAAGAATATATAGCTAGGCTCCTTCCACACTGCCTTCTACCAAAGCCAGAATTATTGTCAGAGGGTTATTTCTATGTTGTTCTCTCTCCTGACCTGCTCCTTTTCCTGCCTTTCGTTGGACTCTCCTCAGTTACTCAGCTTGGGTGTACATCTATCTTCTGCTACAATTCTGACAGATATAATCACCGCTAATAAGTCTGTCCCTCCTCCATCCCTTTATACCTAAGGGAGTATAAGGCATTTAGAACCTTCATAGAACTTACATACTCTAGATAATCATATATTTTAGCCCTGACTGCTCTCTGTTGATGAGAGCTCATGCTGATGGCTTCATTTATATTGCATTGCCACAAACTAAGCCCAGGCTCTTAGTTTTTTGAGGCACATTAGCACATACTGACATACCACTATTTACGAAGTGCTACGACAGGACTTTTACACACAGTATATCATTTAAAGTCACAAGAATGGCAGATACACTGTACTCCTTGCTCAGGCCAAATATGTTGGAGTCATCCCTGATACCTCTTTTTTCCTTATCTGACACATGGTGCTACTCAACAAAGGTTTTGAATGGATCAATAAACACTTCTGTGATAAAGGCGTTATCTACATTTTGCAGTAGCAATTGAGGCTGAAGGCCATTGAGAAAACTGCCCAAAGTGACACAGCTGAGAAGTCAGAGTTGAGAGACTGTAACCCTGTTCTGTGTCATTCTGAAGCTGCATTTCCCTTACACCAGGCTGTGCCCCAACGTGAACCTCCACATTTGCCTCTGCTCTGTCTCATTCTGCCCTACCTGCTGCAACCCACTGTGCCCATCTGGGTAAGGTTCTTTCCTGAAATCATCTCTTTTCAAATCACTCAAAAAATTTCACTGTTTCCCTACCCCTTCCATTGTCTGTATACCAAGCTTACCATCCTCAGCTTTGCTTCATTGTCTTCCACAAGCAACCTTTGTATCAGTTGAAAATTATACAGCAGCTCTGTATAAAAACTGAGGAATTGTTACAAACTGAAGGATACTAAGGTGGCA